AGAGAGAGAGAGAGAGAGAGAGAGAGAGAGAGAGAGAGAGATAGCAAATACGAACCATCATTTAATCCGCTGCCACCGCTGCTGCTGTCACTGGCTAAGGCGACGGCCACCGAAGCACAGCAGAGGCAGCACAGCTGGAGCGCCTGCAAGAGAGAAAAAGGTGACACCCGTGTGTGAGCAGCGCCGCGGGTCGGGTGCCTCCCAGGTCCCGGCTGTGCGGCGCGCCCCTCGGTGGTGGCACCTGCCTTGGCCAGACGCCGTAGTCCCGCGGGGCCCCACGGCGGCCCGGGACCAGCGGCCCGGAGGGCGCACGCGAACAGGAGGGCGCACTCCATGGTCAGGTGCGGACGCGGTGACTGCTGGAGGCGCGCATTGTCCCCGAGGGCCGCGGAGCCCCAGGTGCGGCGCCAGGTGCGAGTCGCCGCTGCAGCTCACATGGCAGCGCTGGAGCCTGTGAGCCTCCTCCCTGATCCGGCCGCGAGAGCCTGCGACGCTTCGGGGTACAGGGGTCTCCCAGAGCCGGGTCTGCAGCGCCCGTGGTAGGGAAGCTCTGCCGGTGATGCCCACGGGTCTGCTGCGCGCGTGTCGGTGTCGGGGTGATTGTCTGCGGCTCGCGCAGAGCAGCGCCAGCTGGCTCCCCTAGCGCGCCCGAGCCTAGCGCCCGCCTCTCCTCCGCTCGGTGATTGGCGACCCGAGGCTTCCCTGGGCTCGTCCGAGCTCCTGTACTGCAAAGGGCGTGGGATTCCTGGGCCTGGGCTCCGAGGGAGGGGAAGGAGGGGGCGGGGAGGCCGGGTGGGAGTCAGGGGAAGGGAGGGACCGATGCCGAGCCAGGAGAGGGAGGGCAGCGCTCAGGGTCCGCCTTGAGATACCAGCCTAGGGGCACAGAGATGAGCTGAGAAGCTGGAGGCTCAGGTAAGGGGTGTGACTTCTGGACAAGTCTTTCGGCGATGGCGAAGAAATCCAAGGTTCACTGGAAACTTTCTGCAGTTTTCTCTTTTGCCGCATCCCCGGCCCTACCCTGACCAGGTGGGAATCCTGAACCTTTGATAAAGAGATGTGCAACCTGAAGCTTGGATGAACTCTAGGTCACCCAACTGCCCAAAATCCCACCAGTAACCAAGATATCTAGGGCAGCTTGAATGAACAGTGAGCAGTGAATAGCTAGTCACTGTCCCCAGTATCTGAAACAACCCCCACCCCCTGCTCTGAGGTGGCCTTCTCCAGGCTTTCACTTCTACAAATTGAATCTTGTCCCTAGATACCCAAACCTCTCTACATTGGCACTAAGAAACAGACCTTGTCGTGGACATGAGGTGCCTCCTATTCTGTATGGCTATTCATTTACTCAGTGCGTTTATTTGATTCTTTTGATCCCTACAGTCTGTAGTGAGGGGGGAAAAAAAACTTTTTCACAGGCCAGTGAGAAAGATCTTCATTGGGTAGCTCAGCTACAGCAAAACAATAATAGAAGCTTGTGATCGCAAATACCATTAAAGAGCACAAACAGGGTCTTAAACAAAACAGACTCTAGTTGGGGTGTGGGGGACTTGTCAGACATGAGACATCTCTCAGAGATGCCACGGGGGTGGAGGGAAGCCCCAAGTAGAAAGTCAGTTTTTCAAGAAAGAGAGGACTAGGATTTACCCGCTAAGAGAAAGGGTACAGCACACATGAATCGTTTTTGAAGCAGAAAAGGTGTTTGCCATGGTGGAAGCGTTAAAACAAGCCAGAGACAAAACCATCAGGCAGCTGGATGAAGAGGGTCCTATAGTGTTGGCAGAAGGTCTGTAAAGCATGCACGTGTGCAGGATGCAGAAAGCATTAGATTTCTGTGACTGTGTGTTGTGTGAAGGTAGTAGGCAATATCAGTTCCAAATATCAGCCAATGGGAAGCCTGCTGAGCATGCAGACAGACCAGAGGTACCCAGGCAAGTACAGGGAAGAGAGCTAGGTTACTGTTGCCAGCATCAGACTGCAAAATGATAGAACTTAGACCAGGGGTGGTAACAGAAGGAGACAGCCCTACTCAGTCCCCTGAATACCATTTAAAGGAGGTCCTTGTCCATCTTAGAAAAGGTGATAGGTCAATATACATAGTCTAGTTCATTGAATGCAACAGTGAATGATAAACCTGGACGGTAGAGGCAAATGTGCACGTATCTGCTGAAAGGATGAAGCATGGTTTCAAAGTGAGAAGAATCAGGGTTCCATAATCACTGGGGTTTCCTAGGGCCCCTATCTTAAAGTATGTTAAACAGGAATCATCATGCTATATATCTAAATGGTATCCTAAGAACTTAGTATATTTTTCTAAGCATTTCATAATTAGGATTTAAAAGAACAGAATATTTCCATTACTTTGCATTACTTTGTATAATATGTTATATAAAACTTACATGTGTATCAAAACTGTCTATGAGGCTGAGCCAGGATCCATTGGGTATAGGACCCAGAGATGAGCATCCAGCAGACTGTGACAGGGGTGACTTAATGCATTAGGTGACTTCACCAAAGAGCTGGACACTAAAGGAAATTAGACATCAAAGGCATGCAGTAAACAATCACCCCACCCACCATGTCACTAACCAATAGACTGAAGGAAAAGAGAGACTGGGGTCAACAATGTTGTAAGTAACAGCACCAAGTGAGCACCAAAGGAAACTGGAGGGGCACTTGGCCTGTCCCCAATCACCTGGCAATAACTGTGCCCCTGGCGAGTGTTCTTCCACAGACTCTGACGAGTTTGCAAGAAGTTACTCACATCCTTTCAGGCCACCTCTTTTTGTGGTTAAGTTCAAGGCTAGAATCCAAGGCTCATAGTTAGAGGGAATATAGTTCATCCTGTCATGAAAGGTAGGCAACAGGGTACATTGTGTCCAGTCAGGAAGCAGAGAGATGAATGTTGATGTTCAACTCATTATCTCCTTTTTATTCAGTCTCAGATCCAACCCATGGATGGGTGCCAACCACATTTAGAGTGAGTCTTTTCACCTCAGTTATTAGCCCATCCTCTAGATTGCTAACTGCTGTACAGACATGCCCAGAGGTTTATCTATCAGGTTATTCTAGATCCTGTCAAATCATCAGGCAATCAATCTTAATGAACATGGGGGGGGGCGCGGCGGGAGGGGATGGAGAGACAGGTCAAACTTGCAGATGTTCTCAGACTGAGGGTGAGGGAGTGCTTGCCCCTGTGAGAACATGAATGAACAGTGTAATTCCTAATCTTAGTCTTCTCTCCATCAACATGGAGTCATTAAATGCTCATCCACTGAGGCCCTCAACCTCCTTATGAACCGAATGGGGGTGCTTCATCCCCCTCAGTGTCTTTCCAGTTCTTACAATCCAATAGATCTCAGTCTTCTACGTTTCAGTTCAGCTTCCGAGACTTATTTCCTATATCACTGCAGATATAGCAATCAAAATTCATATTGTATTAATTTACATGTGAAAGTGTCCAATCTCTCCTTCAGGGTTAATATACAAACATTTGCAAAGCCTTGACTTCTGGGATGACTTTCAATTTCCTAAGAACTGGGCCTGCAATATGTTCGCACTACCTCTAGATGGTGACAGAGGGTTGTCAGCCCAGGGTCCAGCCTTGAAGCTAGGGATATTTTGGAGCACTTCTAAGTCATTTGAAAAGACTTTGGAATTTTTAGCTTATTTTAAAACTGAAATCTAAAACACTGTACTAACCATTCAAGTTCATAATGAACCAACATATTTTTTTTTCAATCTTAGCCCAGAACATGGCACGCAGATGGTCCTCATATGTGGAAGAAGAAAACGGGGAAGAGCTAGAGACAAGGAAATGGGAAACAGGAACATTTGACATAAAGAAAAAAAGATTTAATTTCTTTCTCATTACCCTTGCTTTAAAATCAATGGTTAAAAAGAAGTTGGTTTTATTTCTAGTGACATAAATTTAACCTTCTTTTCCTGCAAAGCAATATTTCTTTGGTAATATACCTTCTGCTGTCCGGGTCAAGTAATATGAGGCAAACCCTGTTCTCTGCTTATACTTCTCACTGTCCCTGATCCATAAAGATGCATGTATCCTTCCCACAGAGTGAAACATTCTCATCACAGTTAGCTTTCTGAGCTAGCCATCTCTTGGTTTTGTTCTCTCCCACAGGCACAGTGAGGGACACTGCTCCCCAGCCTCTGAAGAGCTGAGTAGAACACTTGGTTAGGTTTTAGTGAGCAGTGGCGTATCTTACGTTTCCTGTACTTTCATCTCTTGAGGAAAATCCCACCATCTCCGAGTAATGGAAAGGATAAAGGATAAGTGAAAACAAGACGTATTTCAGCCTAATAGCCAAAGGAAGAAGAAAACCCAGACATGGGAGACTAGCCAGATGTTTAGTAGAGCACTTGAGTGGGGGCCTGATTTTAGATCCCCAAAAATGCTGTAAAATACTAGGTGAAGTAATAGAATGTTTGGAATAGTGTTCTCGAAGATTGGAGGCAGACCCGGGAGGATCTCTCAAAACACACTAGACAGCTAGCCTAGAAGATGTGCTACAGTTCCAGGCCATTGAGAAACCCCATCCCAAACAGAAGGTGGGAAGAATGGAAAGAGCTGAAGGACATCTGGGGTTGTCCCCTAACTTATATGTGTGCTGTACACACATGCACCCATACCAATGAGCATACCACTACATGTGAGTATATACATAACAATTCTTCCCTCCCCGGTAAAAAAAAAACATTCCACCCTGATATGGATACACCCCCTTGGAGACCTGGGAGGTAGGATTACTTCCCATTCAGCATCTCAGAAATGGGGCACAGGTAGGAAAGTTGTCTTCAAAGTCAGTGGGGAGGGAAGAGAGTTTCTGATTCTGCCTCCTCTATAATCAAATTACCCTGAAAGATAAGCAGCACAAAATAAAGGATGCAATTCAAGCTAATTACAGAAGCCTTTTACAATAACTATTAGTAACAGTATGGGGGATAGAACCTCAAAGTCTAACAACTAATTTTCTAACTAGGGGTTATCCAACACAATTCAGGGAGTCAGGCCTCGGCATGTAGGCCTGTAATCCCAACAACTTAGGAGACTGACTTGGGGGATTGTAAGTTCAAGGCCAGCCTGGGCAATTTAGTTAGACTTGATCTCAAACAGCAAGAAGAAGGTAGAGGGTGTGACTTGGTGGTAGACCACTTGCCTTCCATGAGTGATGCCATGGTGTCTGTCTTCTGCTAGGCCCTACTCTCCAGTCAACTCATGCTCATGACTTAGGGATTCCCAGTGCATCTTGCTCACCTTCAGTTTGGCATTACATTTTATTTTCTTATTATACAGACATTGAACCGGCGTTCTCTAGTTACCTGTATAGGAAGGTCGTCCCCCCTCCCCTTTTTTGTTGCTGTGGATCCTACTCTGCGTGCGGTATGCTTGCTTCCCTACTTCTATTTTTAGCCCTTTCCCAAGCTCTACCATTAAAAGTTCCTTGCTTGCCAGAGGCTAAAGAGGTAGTATTAAAACGGGGCTACTTATTTCCACAAACAAATTCAAGGCCAAGTTCCGAGCTCGTGGAAGAGTAGAATAC